ATGACCACCCGACGTATGCCCCGCCTCTCCCCTGCGGTGTCCATACGAATATTCGTACCTGATATTTGCCGTTGTGCCCAGCGTGGCTACAAGCTGACAGCAAACTTTGGCCAGAATGTCGTGTGAGACGATCAAACATAAATCCATAGATGCCGCTCGCCGTCGGCCAAGAGAAATGACCTCTATGATGTAGATTGCCTATTAATTTGACCAGCCGAATCTGGACCTTTCGATCTTTATATGTGGTGGGGAATGGATGAAAGCACGTAAAAGAATCATACGTGGGGTTATTTCAGGCCAGGTTTTCATCCGTCCTAACATTTTTTTTCATACTTTCGTGTGAAAATAATGATGAAGTAAAATAAAAGAGATTATATATATATATATATATATATATATATATATATATATATATATATATAGAGAGAGAGAGAGAGAGAGAGGGAGAGAGAGATATGCATATATATCAGTATATATAACTTTTGTCATATCAGTCACACACAGACGCATACACGTGCACGCATACACAGACATTTATATATATATATATATATATATATATATATATATATATATATATATATATATATATATATATATATATATTTATAATGATCGGACTGTTTTTATATGCGCTATATATATATATATAAATATATGGAATTTATATATAGTAATTTTCAATTTAGGTAATTTTATATATATATATATATATATATATATATATATATATAGAGAGAGAGAGAGAGAGAGAGAGAGAGAAGTGTGAAGTAGAGAGACAGACAGACAGAATGATAGACAGAAAGAAAGAAAGAAAGAAAGAAAGAAAGAAAGAAAGAAAGAAAGAATGATACACAGATACAGATAAAAATAAAGACAGAGAACCAATGAACTTGTAATAGATGGATAGATCGGTCAATAAAAGGTGTGGGTTGGAGCCGTGTCCATCAATAAGTACATGGGTGACTTGCTGTTGGCGGGTCATTACCGTTTTCAATCGTCTTCTCCGGCAAGAATTAGCCTCGCTTTCAAGTGTGGGGAACACCGAACTAAATTACCATCTATTAAAAGTGAGGAAACAAAACCTGCTTAAGGCTCAAGCAGATTACGCTGAAGCTTACACCTAATCCGGCTGGGTCTAGTTTTCCCGTCTTCTCTTTTTCTTATCACATCCTCTCTCAAACTCTGCCAGTTGTTTCATTTACACTACTTCTGCGTATAGATATGTTACTTTCCTCTATAAACCTCTTCTCCCTGTTTATTAACTTACACTATTAGACGTTAAATGTTAGATATTAATCTTATAAAAGCAGTCGCTAAAACACGCTCTCATATATTTGTGTGCATATAGTAAGGCTATACGAACAGGTATCGTAAAGGTTTGCCTTTTTGCTTATCTTCCGTCTGTCAATAAGAAAATAACGTGTTTTTGATGTTATTGCAGAAATTTTATAGCTATTGTTGCATCTTTCCCAAATTGTATATTTATGACTCTTTTTATCGAATTTTATTTTCCTCTTTCATTTTATTCCAGTTGTTTGAACTTAATATTTAACTTAACATTTAAATTAACATTAAACATTTAAAGACGACATTAATCGCCATGTTCTGTCTTCCTTTTATTATCCTTTCTCTCCACTAAATACTTCTTATTCTATTTCACTCTTAGTAACTTTATTGCGTCTTAGCGGCATTATCACCTTGCTTGATGTGAAATAATTAAAAAAAAATACTTTTATTGCTCGCTCAAATTGTGGACAACTTTGTTTCAAGTGGTTATTTTTCATTCGTGAAGGGTTTTCTCCTGAAGTGAAAGAGAAAATGATAAAAAAAGAATGTCAATAGAGTTAAATACGGCTGACACGAGATCAAAAAAAAAAGAAAAAAAAAGAAAAAAGGAAAAGAATAAAAGAATGTAAAAACTTACAGATTGATTGGCGAACGTTCGACGGGCCACACTTTCAAATGTTTCAAATAATGGAATCAACTGAAATTTAAGAGATTGCAAATATATTTCGGCATACATTATACGAAGGTATTTTTTTTTTCCATTTTAATATTTTTTAAATTTTTTTTGTACTAATTCATATCGCAACATATAATATGCATGCAACAGGTTTAACAATTTTAAATCTAATATATATTTTTCATTTATTTTTTCTTGTTTTTACAATTTTTTTCTTAAAATACTGACATTAATTCTAAGTTAATTTCACTGAAAATGCTATAGTTCTGAAAACATTTAATACATCGAATTTGATATCAAGTTATTAGTACATAATTATTATAATTATAGTTATTAGTATAGTTAAGAATATAGTATGATTATAGTTATTACTATAGTTAATAGCATAGGACAGTATAATTATAGTTATTAGTAAAGTTAATAGTATAGTATAATTATAGTTATTAGTATAGTGAGACTGTAAAAGAAAAACTAAAGTTAAATTTATGCACATCTGTATACTGAAAGAGTTTATTTGGAGAACGAGCGACAACAAGTTCACTCAGATCTTTTTTATATGAATTATTAAAATTGGTGTTTTCTCAAAAATTGCTTCTGACAGGTTTCGCTGGAGATCAACTGAAAGTTTTCATCAATGTTCTGTAATCTCATTATTGTTTCCAACGTTTGCAATATTGTCTTTATTTTTATTAAGATCTTTGGAACTCTTCTGTACGTGAAGATTGTATTAGATACATATCTATATGCCACCGTTTTTCTCCAGTTTTGCGAAAAATGTTTTGAGCTATGATAATTATCGTTGTTATATATTTACACTTGGTGCCTATTTGTTATCTTCAGTTATAGAGATTTACCGAGTCTCTTTGCACATGCAACTCAATCTCTATTATTCCAGCCGTGGGTTCCTCGTCTAGATGTTTTTGATTTTTTTTCTAATTCCTCTTTGCCTTGCCTCTTGTGCTTTAAGGCAATAAGTGAACGCTTGCTCTGCCTACGGTAGAATGCGTATCTCATATGAATGAAGAATTTCGGTCATTGTGCATTTTTTATGGATCGAAGCATACCCACGAGTGGCCAAGACTTGTTGGATATAGTCATTTTAACGAGTAGAACGTTTTCCAACTAAAGCTATAAAATCCAGTTTATCCTGCTATTTAACCCATATTTTGGGGAGAAGTGATGTATTATAAGGGTATTTACGCGTAAGTGAAAATTACGAACTCAGCTGGAATTTCAACTCGGCTGGAATTCCATCTCACCTTTCCGATTTCATATTCCAAACCGCAATCCAGTGCACCACATGGACAGCCTTCAAAGAAAGATTTTACTAATGTTATTTCAATCAGTGTTACTGGGTCATAACCAATGACTTAAGGCAAGTAAAGAATATGATTTTTGTTGTTTCCACTTTATTAAACAAAAGACAGCCATTAAAAAAAAAAAACTAAATGGACAAAGCTCTTAGCAGGATGAATGTATGCTTGTTATTTTTATTTTTTTAGAATTTTCTGGAGAGATGGTGCATCAGCGATTTTTTTTGATTTGTTGTTGAGTTCCTTTCTTAATCCGACCCACAGCTCTGACCCCAGCAGGAACAGTTTTAGCTTTTAAAAGCCACATTTTTTTTTCTTTTTCTCTTTCCAGTCCTTTGTATTTGCGTATTTTTTTCAAAAACCTTCACAGACTTGTGTTGATAGAAAAATGCCAAAAGGTGGTAACATCTGCCCTCTCAACTATAGATTCAGGATGATGTTCAGCTATTTTAATCGGGTATTGATTAGAGATCTTTGAATGTATATATTGCCCTACACTGGCATATTTTAGGTTTTTTTTTGTTGTTATTATTATTATTACTGTTTTTATTTCCTTTTTATTGCTGGCGTGTACACATTTCTTTCCAGGTCCCGCCCAGAGACCTAAGTTTAGAAATGGCATCATGATTCTTTCAACTGACAAAAAACAAAAAAACAAAACAAAACAAAAAAAAAATATTTTACAGAGATAAAGCTCTTCATAAAATGTGTGCTGTACTTGTGAGAACATCTTTTTGTATTTCTTTGAGGCATGGGCTTTCAGGAATCCCTTCAATTAGTCTACTGGAATCTTTTCCAACCAATCTTATGACTACAACTAGAAAAAGGATTGTTGATGTTCCCATGTGCCACATTTTTGAGATTTCGATTTCAAGGTCCTTGTATTTTGACAGCTTTTTGAATATCTTCAAAGATACATTGCAGTCTGCAGGGACTGCCATATCAATAAGGAGGCATTTTTTGTTTATGGTCTTTAATAACAATGTCTGGGTGGTTGACTTTGATTGATCTGTCAGTGTGTATTGTGTAGTCCCATAGAATTGTAACAGGTTCTCTCTCTCCCTGGGGGATGTTCATACCAGTTACTTTCAGTTTCCTTCCCGTATAAGTTGCACATTTTCCAGTGCAGATATTGGCCCACTCTGTCATACCGGGTTTTATACTTAGTAGGTGCCAATATCGTGCATCCTGATACAAGATGATCAATTGTTTCTGGATATTTATCACAGAATCTTCATTCTAACACCATATTTTAGTATATGTGCTATTATTATTATTATTATTATTATTATTATTATTATTATTATTATTATTATTATTTTGTTATCTGTTCAGTACAATCGCTTACCTGGTTATTAACCGAAACTTTGGATAAGGCAAGGTAACAGGTATATATATATGCATTTTCTCTCCATAAATTCTAGTGGTAAGAGGTGCTTAATATGTATATTGTTTATTTATTTTGATAAGACTCTCTTGAAAACATGAGCAATTCCAGAATATCCATTTACAAAAAAAAAAACTTTTGTAAATAGTAGCTATAAGCAAGCATAATACTATTCTTATTACAACCATAATACTATTCTCCTTATTCTTATACTATTCTATATTCTTAGTTTTAGCATTTTTCTGTACCGAGGGATTCAGTTTTTATAGGTACGGGAGTAGTTTTTAGGTAACATTTTTCTTCAAATTCAATTTTAAAATTATTTATTTATTTGGTCGTATTTTGAACATTCTTTTTGTCAGTGGACATTAATCACTATGTCTGGTCTATTTTTATATTTCTCTGTATAAACGGTATAAAGTCACAAAGAAAAGTGCCTTCATGACTTTCTATCACTGGTTCAAGGTGATTTACATATCATTTTTCTGTATAAATTTCACCATTAAAAAAAATGTATTATTATTGGTAGTAGTAGTAGTATTAATACAGGTTGAGAATCCTTTATCCGATGTTCTTGGCACCGGAAGTGATTTGGTTTTCAGATTTTATTTCGGATTTTAGAATACAGGTTATTTAATTTGTATATAGCATCTATAAAATGTGTCAGCTTGGAAAGAGAAGCGAAGCATAAACACACTATCATTTTACATTTCATAACACAGTTTATGCATATACCCTGAAAGTAGTTTTATATAAATAACATATACCCTGAAAGTAGATTTATCTAAAATTTAATAAATTTTATGTACATACGGATACAGGTGATGACACTAATCATGTAATACACACACGGATTTTTAAGTGTTGAAATTAAGATTTCACGTAAAAATAATGTTTGCACTTTCTGTAAATGTCCAAAAACATGATCACTACTTACAAAAAATATATATAAATGCAGGACTTTTTGATATTTTGAATAATATCTTTACTGAGCACGAGGCATTTGGTAAATCATCCACGAACGAAGGTGGTGCTTTGACGATCGTTAACAAAAAAAAAAAAAAAAAAAAAATACCGCCAACCTAGGCTAAGTAGCAAGGCTTTCTGAATTTTTCTATTTGTGGCAAATCATGTTGGCACCTGAAAAACCTGAAAACTTCCGAATTTTAGAGGTTTTCGGATTTGAGAGTTTCGGATAAATAATTGAGAATGCAGCACGCCAAAAAGTGAAGCCGAAGTAAAAATATAGGAAGCCCATTATACTCATCATTACACGTAGTCTGATACAGGTATGCCAGGCACAAGCATGGCAGCCATTTATGTGCGATATCGTGACAAGTTTTGATGAAGTCAAAGCATAAGCCTTTTGGTTGGGACTCAGAAAGAAATATACTCAAGGCTAATCCTCTCGCTCTGACGGTTGTCGATTGAAGTTTAATAACACACCCTCTTGAAACATGGCCATAATGTTGCTCTATTATTACTATCATTATTAGTATTAGTATTAGTAGTACTACTACTACTAATAATAATAATAGAGCAGCAGCAGTAGTAGTAGTAGTAGCAGCAGGAGTAAAAGGATAACGGCTCGGATTGAGGAGTCGGCGAGCCGAGCTCGAATTTTAGTCGAATCCATTACATACATTGATGTGCTAATAACTTTAGGAAAGGTATTCTCTTCTTATCTCCTCGGCTATGGGTAATTATTAGGAGAGACAGGGTTCTATAGCTTTGGTTGGCAACTGGTCTACCGCAGAAAGAAATGGCAACCTACTGCGGAAAAAATCTGCCTCGTCAGTCATGTATCGAAAGATACATTATCGCCTAAGCGTGTGTCATGCATGGCACATAACTGACTGAGTAGTAGTAGTTGTAGTAGTAGTAGTAGTATCCAGAGACTGTTCGCTTCAAACAAAAATAGTTACAAGGACATGGAATTTTAGAACACTAAATCACTGTGGTCACATCGCGTTGAAAACACCGGTTCACCGAAGTTAAGCTACATAGAGCCTGGTCAGTAGCTAGATGGATGACCGCTTAGGATTACTTGGGGCTGTAAGCTTGGATGTGCGGATGGTGTAATGGATATCTGCTCCGAGTGAGAAATCGGAGATCCGAATTCGAATTCAAGTCGAGTTCTTGGCATTCTCATACACATTCGCAAATACACATTCGCAAATACACTTGAGGATTTCTGAATCGAAATGGTATATGATTGCCCATGCTTGTCATAACCCACTCCTACCAACAGGCATTCGGCCAGCGTTGTAGGTTACTGGCCCATTCTACCCGAGGAATCGGCGAATGGACAACGTCTAACAAAGGACGTTCACAGACTGAGAATAAAAAATCAATGTGGCCACTTAGAAAATATAAAGAAACAAATAAAACGGCTAAATATTAATATTAGAGGTGAGTGTGTAAAATTAAGTTGGAAAAAAGAAAATAAATTATGGAGAATTATGAAAACAAAGAAAAGCCTGTTGGAGTGTTATATCGGTTTTCTTGTATATCAGATGTAGTTCTACTGAAGGATGATGAGAATATGTGTAACAAAGGCGTTTTAAGGAAAATAGAAACAAATAGAACACTTGCACTTTGAATCAGAAAGAAACAGTTGTAATTTCTAGGACACGTACTGAGGAAATAAGGCTTTGGAGAATTTTAACATTCACAGAACGTATTGAAGGCAAAAAAAAACAAAGGAAAGCAGCGTGCAATTATATGACAAGCTTTATAAATGGACGACAGATAAGAGAATGCAAAGAACATTATTAAGTGCTGCAAAGGATAAGAAATTGTGAAGAGTCATGAAGTGGGTTGGAAGATAGAAGTAGTAATATTATTCCGAGCATTTGTATAGTTTGGCACCACGTCTGTTGGTTGTCGTTGGAGATTAAGCTAAACCTCTTCACCTCTGATCTTTAACACATTCTCAGTGTCCTCTTCGACACCTGGGTTGCTGGGGTTTGAACTGTCTCAGTTTCTGTAATCTGTATTTCAGCTCATCTTGATTCTACTGTTTTTCGGCTCAATTTATGTGTTATTGATATTTTTATGAGCAATACTCCAAATTTTTTATTTTAGTCTTTCTTCTGTTCTATAGTGAATGCTTCGTACATTATTTACATTATTCGGACTATTGTCCTCATCTTTGTCGCCATATTTATCACAACGTTTCGGCCATTGTACGCTCCGGCCTTCTTCAGGTGGTTGGAATGTCGAACTGGACCCTTTGTTTCGCTTACTGGGGTAGACTGTTCTAGTTCCACTTGCCATGTTTGATGGATCAGTTATCTCCTGTTAATTTCCCTCTGAAAGTTCTCCGCTGCCTTAACCGGGTATTGAACTCACACTCTTTGCGTCCTGTCACTGGATATAACCAACGCCTTTATCCACTGTGCCATGTGTCCAATGAGGACAATAGTAATAATGTAAATAATGTACATAGTACCTCATCTCAGAAATATAGACAGACTCTGAATTCTTCGTATTTATCTAGATTTCATCTGTTTCTGTCTTCAGCTTGTGGTTTGCTACCATTTCGACGATGTGACGCATTTTCTTTCATTTGTTCATGGTTACGAAATCATTTGTTTTTGTTTGGATGTGTTGGCCGGTAAGATTTGAAAATGTCGTAGTATTTTTCGTTTTATTTTATAAATCAGTCTCTGATTATATTGGTTGCATGTTTGAATCCAAATCGTTTATACCACAATCCCTACTCTACGTTACCTGTTTTTATCTTAAATTAATTTACTGAGTGTTTACATATTGATCGTTTACACGAGAAATAACTGATGGGCAACCTTAAGTAACTGAAAATTTCCTTAATATCCCAGAAAACAAAGAAGCCGTTGTTACATTGTCGTGTGGTACCCACCATCTTATATTGAAGTAAATCCTGGAAATCTCCCCAATGATGAAGAGAAAACTGGAGGGGATATAAATGTGGTTCTACAGAAGGATGATGAGAATTCCAGAGACTGAGCGAATAAGCAACGAGGATTTTTTGTTTAAAAAGAACATTCAGAATCAGAAAAAGAAAGCTGAAATTTCTTGGGTATATAATGATAAAAGGGGACCTGGAAAACCAAACCCCTACAAGGCATATTAAAGACAAGAAAGATAGAAGAAGGTAGCGATCCACTTAAGAGACGAGTGTGTTTGAATGGATGGTGGAAAGGGATCTAGAGTTTTAGCAAAGGGAAAAACACTGCTAAGGGCCACAAAGGATAAGAAGTTGTGGATAGCCATGATCACCCATGTCCTGAATGGGCACATGGAAGAAATCTTCATAATGGTTCCAACATTTCTTCTGATTTCCCAATCCCTCTAATTTCTTTGACGGGTATTTCAGTATTTTTCCCAGTGCTCTGATAACCACAAGCATCTTTTCTCGTTTCAAAGCTTACTCAGTTCTTTGAAAATGTCGATAGATTTATCAATCTTTTCCTTTTCTTTGATACCTACTTTTGATAGAATAAGAAAATCTGACAGGTATTCCGTTGGGTTGGATTGGGTGATGGGTTTGAATTCCAAATTACCAGAAAGTGCGATATGATTTAATTTATCGGAGATAAAATGCTCAGTGATCTCTATGATCAAAATGTAGTCGCTTGCACAGTTCCTTGTGGATCACCTTCCCTACCCACTGATACCTGTTGTTGTATTCTTTTTGGACTAATTAGCTACATTCGCCGATTGCCGTATTTTCTCGTGTATGAGACGACTTCATGTATTGTGCGACCTGTGAACCCTTCGGCATGAATTTTATCATACCCAGAACAAAATTTACCCGTGTATAGTGAAACTGGTCATCGAAAGACCACGATTGTTAACCTCTTCAAAAGCATTACCTATGTATAGTGCGACTCCCTAATTCTGCGTAAAAAAAAAATCTGATCATAAAATTCGATCTATAATCGATACGTGGTTGAATGTCATGTATTCATACATGGTATATTTTTTGTAATTCCTGCGGTTTTATCTATTTTCGCTTTTATATAATTGGCACTTATTACATTGTCGTCCTGGGTATGACGATAAACTACATCCGGCAGCATGAACCCAGATTGAGATGTTTTGAGGAGTGTGGAACCGCCTCTTAATTGCTGCTGCTCCCAGGTTTAAGGTCGTATCAACTCTTAGGGTCCCAGCTATGGGCAAATAGTGAACACTACGATCTGGTGTAAAACATGAAACTATAAAAATATATTACCAGCAATACAAAAAATTCCAGCAATAAATTTTGGAAACAAAAACATTTTGGAGAAAATTAAAAAAAAACATTAGCAAAGCTCACAAAAAAAAAAAAAAAAAATAAAATAAAATTCAGCATTAAATGGCCCATAAGGATTTGATATGACATTAAATAAACCAAACCAAACCAAACCAAACCAAACCAAACCAGATTTATTGCATTGTTTTGTGCTACCATTTATCGCTTTTGTTGCTTCCCCAATAAAATATATTAGAGTTGTTCTTAAACTACAAATGAAATCTAAATATGCAAATTAATGTTAACTGTTTGTCTGTTTGTCAATCCTTTTAAGAGATTTGCAGCTATACTCACATTGGTACATCTACAGGGCGCGACGGATAAATTGTCGCCATTTTACATTTTTACTTTCACGCATGCGCATAGTTTGTCTTTGATTTTGTCGACGGTCATTTCGGCACCGTTTGTGACGAAAAGAGGCACAATTTACCCCACCAGAAATTTAGAAATGCCATGTCGTACTGCTTGGCATTGGTGCCGGAAGCTCCAATACGAACATTTCAGAGTGTCTGGGTGTCAATCTGAGAACAGTGCGGGAGATTCGGAAAGAGTTGGATGTGTCTAATAGTGATTACGAAGTTGTTTGGTGTATTCACTAGTGATGGCGACGTTATGCTTCTCACAGGGCATCAGACTCAATACAGAAACCTACATTAAATGCCTTGAAGAGGTAGTGCTGCCTCCGATCAAGAGAATGGCAATTGAAAAATCCTATGTCTGGCAACAGGACTCTGCACCATGCCACAAAAGCAGGAGAACCCAGTCATGGTTGTTAGATATTTTCTGCAGCCATACCACAGTTTAAATCTGGCCACCTAACTCCACAGACTGCCACACCCTTGATTTTTATGTGTGGGACGCATTTGAGCGAGACACCAACAAAACTCCTCAAAAAGACCGAAGATGAACTGAATGCAAGTATTATGTCAGCATTCACCAACTTAAACAAGGAGAACATATAGAAGAGTTACAGAAGATTCCAATGTCATCTAGAGGCCGTGGTTGAAGTCAATGGCGATTTTATTGAATACATTTAATCTTTATTATTTCAAGATATTTTAGTGTAATTTTAGTAAGTATATTTGTTAAAATGAGATGTCAATATTATTTTAATTGTTGCGTAATTTAGACGAAAATTTATCCATCGCACCCTGTATAATAATGAAAACTTACTTCGACTTTAGATAATATTATTAAGTACAGAAAATGTATATTTAATTACGATCAGTTTTTTGATGTAGTTATTGTATTATTTGAAAGCTACATCAACATCAAAGTTTTATTAAATTGATCAAAACAATGATATGTAAAATAACAATAAGTTATTGATTCTGATATTCGATGTCTCCGGAAACGAAATAGAACAACCAATTAATTAAAAACTAAAGCAAATTTTAAGAAGTTCTTTCTTTTCCTCACACTTTTTCTTACTTTTTCTTTCGCTTTTTCTCTTATTTTTCTTTCTCTCTTTCTTTTCTCTTTCTTTCTTTTTTCCTTCTTTATTTCTTCCGCCTTTCACTTCCATTTTTTCATTCTTTCTGCTCTTTCTTTTGCACTCTCTCGCATTATCTCTCCTTCTTTCTTTCTCTCGCTTTTTTTTTATTTTTCTCTCTTTCTTTCTCTCTCTTTGTTTCTTACTTTCATATTTATTTATTTCTCTCAGCTTTTTGTTTCTTTCTACTTTCTTTTCCTTCTCTCCACTTTTTCTTTCTTTCTTTCAGCTTTACTTACCATTTACTTTTTTTTAATATTTTTCTCTTGTTATTTTTCATTCTTCATTTAACATACTGTTTTTTTTTCTTTTACTCTTCATTCATACTTTCTTTCGTCATTTCTATTCTTCCTTTCCCTCTTTTTTCTACTCATTCTTCATCATCATCTTCCATTTTCCTGTTATTCTTACTATGTCTCATTCGTTATTTATTCAATATTATTTTGGTATTGTTTGTCAGTTTATTCTATGGTTTCGTCTTTTGTCTTTTGTTTTCTTCTCTCCTGCTTGCATTGGTTTTTTTATTCTTTCTTTTCACTGTTTTCTCTTTAATTTCTCTGTTTACACCCCCCCTTCCACAACTTGACTTCCAATCTTTTTAAATCTAATTTCTCGGTACCCATATAGTTTAACCTTTTTCTTGTCGCCTTTTTCAACATATTCTGTATGCTTTATTTTCACTATTAGAATCGTTATTTGTTCTTGTATTTTGAATAGTAATGTCTGACTGCAAACTGTAACTTATAATTTTCATTGTCTGAGTCAACTATAAAACGAAGTGTAATAACTTCATTAAAGCAACAGATATTAACACTATTATCGAAATTATCCCACATATTAATATTAATTCTTCACGTCATCAGTCGTTGACGAACATTTCTGTAAATCAGGAGATATCAAATCATAAGATTCACATTATGTACGTCGGAATTCAAGCGACATAACCTGAATCGTTTGCTTTCTTCGACGTATATTGCCTGAATACTAAAAAAAATTCATTAAAAAAGATCCCGAATATGTTTGGTTATCCAAACATATTCGGGATCTTTTTTAATGAACGTGTAATTAAGAGCATAGTTTTTCAATATAATTACTAATTTGAAAATACAGCCAAGTATCATAGCATCTTTTAAATAAAAGCAAAACCACTTGACTATTATCAGAAGGTTCCCACATGTGAATCCTTAAATAGAAAAATAAATCGCCATTACAAGGGAGATAACACCTTTTGAAATGTTACCGATATTACAGAGAAAACAATAAAAACACTTGTCGTTGGTGCATTACATACTAAGATTACATTCAATGATTTTTTTCAGACCAGCACTTACTAGTGGCATAGACTGAAGATCAAGTGGCAGCAAGTCAACACAGTACTTTAACACTCATTTCAATATTCCATTTATTTTCAGTAATTCTGTTGTGTGGGCTTTTAGTTTTACGCTAGGATTTTTCGGAATTGCTCCCAGCTCCATATATATATATATATATATATATATATATATATATATATATATATATATATATTATCCGTTGATAATTGGCAGGGATAATTCCAAGGAGGATTTGAATCTAAAGAGAGTTCAATGTAATAAATAGAGCAATATAATAATTATAATTACAAACGAATGCATTTTAATGATCATCTGTAATTATATATATATATGTATATTTGTATATCTATATCTATATCTATATATATATATATATATATATATACATACATATGTGTGTGTGTGTTTATATATATATATTGAGGAAGTTGTAAGACAAAATTGAAGACTAAATGAACAAAATTACTTGTGACGTGTTTCATCCGTTAGGACTTCATCTGGCTGTGTTTGTTGACGTTGTTGTGGGCTGCAACATGAACGAAAGACGCTGGTAGTTTCAAAATGTTTGAAATTATTTTTTGAAATAACTTTTGGAAATATTTTTTTATTTGCAATCTAGCCAATTCCATCAATATTCTTTTTCTTTCAATTATCTTTGCGTCTAAATACGCATATTGTGTAACAGAAAATCTGCCAAGAATTGTGAAACGTTCTAAGAACCTGAACGTAAATTTACTGTGGCTGAATTAGCGATTAAATAACTTTGTAGACATTTTCGTCTTAATGAATTATTGTCTCTTTTAATTAGAGTAGCCTTTTTCATGTCAAAACTGTGGTCAGTCTCGTCAAAGTGAAAAGTCATCGCGTTTTCGGTGTTTTTTTTTTTGTTTTTTTTAAATGTCTCATATTGTGTTCATGTAGTCTTTTGTTTAAACTTCTTGAAGTTTCTCCAATATATTCTTTCTGGCAATCCTTGCAGTTGATAGAGTAAATTCGCCCTTCAAGTTCTGTGTTGCTTTTATATATATATATATGTATATTAATTAAATATTTTATTGATTCAGATAAAATTGTGACAAATTTTATGTTGAGTTTAGATGAATTCTTTTCGGTTGTAGTTGTGATAGAGTTAGTGGATAGAATATATTTTTTTGATTCGTTAGGTTTGTCAGGAAGAACAGCCTTTTCTATTTTTGAATATTTTATGAGCTTTTTGTTTCGCATTGAATATGAAATAGTTATATATATATATATATATATATATATATATATATATATATATATATATATATATATACCCATTATCAAGAACGATTATTTTTTAACTGAATGTGTGTTTTTTATGTATGCATGTGTAGTTATAGCAGTGTTTTAATTTGCAAACATGATCACTACCACAAGAGTTCCTGCTGAAATCAGTTGGCGGGATTCCTGGGCTGTTCAAGAAACTGGTAGCGAAATCTGATGCCCATATCGAATTTTTAAATAATACATTATGCTAAACAATTTCATCCATATCCATTTCTAGTAAAATATATAGTTAATAAATAAACTATAAGTTTTTGAAAATGGGGAGTTACTTTTCAATCACCCTATCTATCTATCTATCTATCTATATATATATATATATATATATATATATATATATATGGATTCGACTAGAATTCGAACTCGACTCTCCGATTCCTCAAGCCAAGCCGCTATCCTTTACTCCACCGTGCCTCCTACGTGCTAACACCCTTGGGAAAGCTGTCAATCCTCTTCTCCTCCCTCCAGCTATGGGTAAATAGCAATACAGACTGGGTTTTATAGCCTTGGATGGCAACTGGTCTAGGAGAAGGACAATTCTGCATTCAAAACCTGCGGAGCGTCCTTTGGGGACCTTGTGGCACGTAGTGCACCAGGTCCTGCACGAAACCTTCACCACTAAAATCAAATCTCATGTGATGTTGTCGGGCTGTATATATATTCCAACGTTTTCCGTTTAATGTCTACTCTATGAGGATTGTTACATCGTTATTTGAGGTTACTGTCTCTGGTTTGTCCTCATACCATTTCTCAGTGGTTTTGATTTTGGGCTTCTTGCATACCTTCCAGTACATATATGTCGCTACCTTGTTAATGTTGTTATTACTACGACTATTATTATTATTATTATTATTATTATTATTATTATTATTATTATCGTCATATCGTTGGACATTGAGTATGTCGCTTCAGACCATTGACATTTATTCCATTTCCCTTCAGACGATGACATTGCTATGGTACAGACCCTCTCAATTCTTCTACTTGCCTCTATCCCATCCAAACTTGCTTCCCATGTTTGTAATTTTTTTCTTTTTAGCTCCGGTCCAAGTAATTCAACTATTATGGATAGAGCCCGATATTATATATTCTGTCATTTCTTCATTTCTTCAACGAAGTCCCTCAATTTATTTACATTTGCATCTATGTTACTGAATAGGATATTTATTCTGACATGTCTTTATTCAACGATACAAAGCATACATGCTAACTCTTCCAATCAGTTAAGCCATGCTTTGTGTAGCGTCAGTATGTTTCTTCTTATTATTATCATATAATAACTGTGCTTGTCCCTCCCTACATTAGTTTGCACGACCGTTACGCCCCGCCGATAACTCATAAATAATGGACATTTCTGTTTCGATCGCGTGGAAAGACAAAAGACTTATCAGAGACGCTACTACATCATCAAAAATGAACTATTCCGTCTAAGACGCGCGAGAAGACAAAAGAGATCAAAGACGCTACTTGGTTTCAGTGAGAAAATGAAAGAAAGAAGGAGAGATAGAATTGAGTAAAGTCTGTTTCAGTGAAATGGAAATAAAAAAAAAGTTTTCATTTTCAAATCTTTTCATTTGTACCCGCTTACTTCTTAAAATGGCGACCAGCATTCATCTTTATGATTGTTATTACAATATTTTGTTAAAGTTGTTAAGCTCAAAAATTAAACGATGCGATAGGTGAATTTCTAGAGATATTTTATTGTCATAGAAATTGCCATGAGCTTACTCAATCGTTCACTGACAAATTGACATTCATCAGAAACTGAAAATAGGAAAACCATGGAATTTTCACGGGTTAAGCCTAGTTATTATTATTATTATTATTATTATTAGTAGTAGTAGTAGTAGTAGTAGCAGTAGTAATTTTGATGCTATAGTAGTATTATTAACTATATTAAGTACACATCTATATCCCGTGTCTTTTCAGAACGTGGTTGAAAATGGCTTTCTACAACTCTATGCCCATTATAGCTTTTAGATTTTTTTCTTTTCATTATGCCTTCATTTCTCTATTCTGCGACCAATTAGCAAAAGATCATTAGGTAGGTTATCTTTCGTTTCTCTCCTTGCCTCTAATATGCCCTGTGAGTGTCAAATTTTCTATCGCTTCTTTCCTCATTATGTGTCCTAGAAACGCTCTCTGTCTAATTCAATGTACAAAAGTCATTTCTGTTTCCTTAAAACTTCTTTCAATGATATTCCCACCATCCTTCTGTGCCACCACATCTCTCTTGTCTCCAGACTCTTCTTCATCTTTGAGAAAAATGTCGGGAATCCACGTCCATATTAGAAGATTGATATTACTTAGCAGTTTAGCAATCTTTTTCATTTCTGATGATAAGTTCTTTTCTGTCAATACTTTGTTTAGTTTTAATCTTTTGTCAAGTGTTTTCTAGTTTCATAAATGGTTTTTAGACATTTCGGTTTTTTACTGAATTACTTAGTAATAGTTAGCGGCTCGGATTGAGGAACCGGGGAGCCGAGTTCGAATTCCAGTCGAAATCCATTACATTCCCTTACGTGCTAATACCCTTGGGAAAAGTATGAATCCTCTTCTCACCTCAGCTATGAGTAAATAGTAGGACAAACCGGGTTCTATCGCGTTGGATAGCAACTGGTCTACCGCAGACAGACATGACTACCGACTGCGGGAAAAATCTGCCTCGTCAGTCATGTATCGAGAGATACATGATCGCATAAGTGTGTATCATGCAACGCACATAACTGACTGAAGTTGACGAGAAAACTCCTAAGTAGTTATTTATTTTGTCTCAGTAACGATATAATATCTGACAATATATAATAATATATAATAACAATGCTTAAGTCTAAACTCTTGAAAGGATCAGTATAAGTTCAATAACGTTAGCTTTTCTAAATATTTTTTTATTTTCTTGTAAAATAAACAATAAAGACAGGTATTATTTCTTTCAATTAATGTTCCTACAGGTAGAGTCA